AGGGAAGCAGGCTCCCTGCTGAGCAGAGAGCCCGATGCGGGGCTCGATCCCAGGACCCTGGGATCATGACCTGAGCCGAATGCAGAGGCTTTAACCCACTGAGCCACGCAGGCGCCCCCATTTCTAGGTTTTTTTCAGAGGACAGGACTAGGAGATTTTGTTTTTTACAACATGAGTTCGTAATAACATCTTCAATTCAAATATAACATTAAAGGGCTTTTTCTTACATAATTTTTTCTTATATAATTTTATATATGTATCTCTTTTCTATCCACTAAAAGTTTTTACTCATTTGCTTTATTCTATAATATTCAAAAAATATTACTAATAAACTACAACATAATATTACTAATGCTAAAATACTGAATACAATTAAAGATGTGGAATTCTTTTTGTCTTTTAAAATATCCCTGTAAATACATACAGATGAATACTGTGTTCACAAGGCAGTTGGAAGATTTGTTCTAGTTCACCCTTTCCCTGAAGGTGAAATATTTTTAGGATCTCAACTTTATATAAGACCTTAGCCCCAAATCCTAACCCAGAACAACCCTTAGGCTTCAGGGCCCTGTGTGGTAAAACCCAATTTTTATTGAGACTGCCAACAGTGGCCTAAAGGACAAGGCACTGGCCTCCTATTGAGACTGGCAAAACACATCAGAGTTACCTAGCTCAGGCTTACCAGGCTGGTTTTTAGCGTCCTCTATATCTTTGGTCCCTAGGGATATCCTTTACTTTTTGTGTTATGGTATGCATTTTAAATGATGCACGTTATTTTTCATTCTGCATTTCTAGGTATTTTATAACAGGAATGTTTCCAGGTTCTTTAGTCAGCCATACTGCTTAAAAAGGAAGTACTTTTATATATGAAGAGAAATAAAGTATCTTGTCTAAATAATAATCAGAGTCTGCATTAGAACCTAAGTCTTCTTTAGTATAATTGCTTTTATATCATTCTACCCTTTTTTTGTTTCAGGCTTACCTGAACAATGATAAAGTTTAAAACCACACAAAGTGGGAAGGTATATAATGTACAATCCAAAGAGGGCTAATCTGTAATACACATTTTTTTTTAAGATTTTATTTATTTGCCAGAGAGAGAGAGAGAGAGAGAGAGAGCACAGGCAGGCAGGGTGGCAACAGAGACAGAGGGAGAAGCAGGCTCCCCGCCGAGCAAGGAGCCCAATGTGGGACTGGATCCCAGGATGCTGGGATCATGACCTGAGCCGAAGGCAGCCGCTTAACCAACTGAGCCACACAGGTGTCCCTGTAATATACATTTTTGAGATGAGCGAAAAACTTAGTACTGATCACTATAAAATGGACTGTAGGCAAAACTTACAGACTCAGTGATAAAAGATCCTGATAACTTAAAATGTGAAAGTGTTTATATTAGTCAACCAATATAGTATATCTATGACTCCATAATCAACAATATACTTTTCTTTTTTTTTTTTTTTAAAGATTTTATTTATTTATTTGACAGGCAGAGATCACAAGTAGGCAGAGAGGCAGGCAGAGAGAGAGGAGGAAGCAGGCTCCCCACCAAGGAGAGAGCCTGACTCGGGGCTCAATACCAGGACCCTGAGATCATAACCTGAGCCAAAGGCAGAGGCTCAGCCCACTGAGCCACCCAGGCGCCCCAACAATATAGTTTTCTTAATAGAGAAAGCACATAGAGCGTTTATGTTTTCCTCAATAAAACTCATTAAGGATTATATTACTAAAAACACCTGTTTTTCTTCCAGAGGATTACTACTTGGAAGGTCTATTTCTCTTCTTGCTCTGAACTCTCCAAATGTATGGAAAGATCCTACTCAGGTTATTCCTTAAAGAACATTGCCAAATGAGATACATACTTAGCCATTTACTATATATTACTTGTTATAATATTAACTAATATTTATGATATTAATTATACAAAATCATACTTTACTTTCTTAATGAGTTTGTGTAGGCACTGATTGTATTAGCATCTAAATTTTACTGACATTCAAGCTTACTATCCATAGTAACTAGTCATACCTTCTCTTTCATGTTCTCAAAAGCTCCTCCCTGGGCCAATACAGTATTGGACTGCAAATCAAAAATGAATCCTGATGTATCTGCAAGAATAAGAATGAAAAAATATATTCAACAAGATCCAAAACTAACATGTGATCCATCCCCCAAATGGAAGGGCCATTCCAGCTGCTTTCCTCTCATCAACAGTTAACAATTTAGTTGCTATTTTGTACATTCTATTCTATATATAACTGATAACTACACTTGAGTTAAAATTATAACATTTGACTTTAATAGAAACTGTCAAGAGCTACAAAAAGACACTAAATACATCAACTATATAAGACTGTCCAGCAAACCTTGACATCTTTGTTAACTTCCTAATTTAAAAGGCCCTTTAGAAATGTTGCAAGTGAATAGTTCCCAAGGTGAAATTAAACACTAATGAATCTGAGAATGTGAATATGAGAGCTTCTAGACCATTATTAACAACACACGAAACTAATTTCCATCTTCTGGACCGCACCACACACGTTCTTTAACTAACAAAATCCCTCAATACATTCATGTTTGTATCCCCAACATATTGCTTAACAAAGCAATGTACCTGAGCTTACCCTATGAGCACAAAATGGGAAAAAAGTGCAATGTGACTGATTACAAAAAGTTTGGCTTCCTTGAGCTTACTTATAAAGAAAAGGCTATCTGCAAATTTAATCAATTTCTTTACCTTGGCTACGTGATCCATAAATTACCTCAGCTTTAACACTTGACAACCTTGTTTTAATCTAATGAGATGCAATGGCGGGACATGGTTAGAGTACTTCTCAAGTTCTGATGTGGATACTTATCATCTGGGGAATCTCAGGTTAAAATGCGGGTTCTGATTTGTTTGTGTTTGACTTGTGGCCTGAGATTTGTACTCTCAGAGGTATCAACACTGCCGATCCATGCGCCGTACTTGGGAATAGCTTGGGAGTTAGAATTTCAACAAAGCAAGCAAAAGGAGAAATTTTTAAAAAAGAGGTTGCTATGGTTTAAGTGTTTGTGTGCCCACCCCTACTCCCGCCTGCTACCACCCGGCACTAAATTCCTATGTTGAAATCCTGAAGTGCTAGTGTTGTATAATGGTATTAGCAGTGGGACCTTTGAGAGATGAATAGGTCCTGAGAATGGAGTCCTCATAATGGGATTAGTGCTTTTATGAAAGAGACCCCCACAGAGCTCTCCAGCCCCAGGCCATATGGTGGGAGCTCGCAATGAGAAGCAGTCTGCAGCCCAGAAAAGGACCCTCACCTGACTATGATCTTAGACTTCCAGGCTTGCAAACTGTGAGAAATAAATTTCTGTTGTTTCTAAGCTATCCAGTCTGTTATGGCAGCTAGAACAAAATAAGACAGGGGTATAAAAAATATAGTAATATTCTAGTACACTTTCCAAATTCTTTTGCTATCATTATAAATGTGTTTTAATTAAGGCCTCTTTTCAGGGATGAAAGGCACAGCATAGGGAATACAGTCAATGGTACTGCAATAACGTTGCATGGTGACAGATAGGAGCTACACTTGCGATGAGCACAGCATAATGTATAAACTTGTCAAATCACGATGTTGTACACCTGAAACTAATGTAACACTGTGTGTCAGCGATACTTCAATTAAAAATAATAAAAAAAAATATTCATTTACAATTTAATCCTGGTTTTCAAATACTTCCTAGTTCCTATGAAGACTGGTAATTCATAAATTAGAAATGTAACAGCATTTTGGTACTAAAAGTGGAAAAGAGGACATGAATAGAGTCGATGTTACTCCAAGAGAAACTATGACTGCCAATTGCCAATATAACAGTGAATTATTTTTTTAAAGATTTTATTTATTTTCAAGAAAGCACAGATTGAGAGAGATCACAAGCAGGGGGAGGGGCAGAAGGAGAAGCAGACTCCCCAACGAGCAAGAAGCTGGATACAGGACTCAAGAGAATACCAGGACTCTGGGATCATGACCTGAACCAAAGGCAGACGCTTAAGTGACTGAGCCACCCAGGTGCCCCAAAACCATGAGTTAATTTATATTTAACATCTGTAATACTGGCAGTTTTCAGACTGTTGCCTAAATTAAAAATTAGGTTGCACCTCAGGCAAACTCAGTATTTAAGTCTGAGTTTTCCAGATGACTATATAACATGGTTAACTCTCAATTATCTTCATTAACTGAGAAAAGTTTTGAAAATCCTGTATCGTCAAAATACTTTCCAGCAACCTACTCAATTGCTACAGGTTAGCCAAATGATTTAACTTGGATGTTATAAGTTCTCTCCCCTAAAGACAAATTAATGAGCAATGAGATGATTCAAAGAATGTCAATAATCTCATTAAAGAATCAAACCATCAAACTCTTTTAAGGTGGAAGCAAAAGAGCATCTTGGCGTCTGTATTTAAATGAATTATTAGGGGGCGCCTGGGTGGCTCAGTGGGTTAAGCCGCTGCCTTCGGCTCAGGTCATGATCTCAGGGTCCTGGGATTGAGCCCCGCATCGGGCTCTCTGCTCAGCAGGGAGCCTGCTTCCTCCTCTCTCTCTACCTGCCTCTCTGCCTGCTTGTGATCTCTCTCTGTCAAATAAATAAATAAAATCTTAAAAAAAAAAAAAATGAATTATTAGTATTACTAGCTTCTTATACATCATCTAACACTTTATTTTTATCCTTTAACAACACATTAGATTAGACAAAGCACAAAATTAGCATAAGGGTTTATCTGGCATACATACCGGTTAGGGTAACGATTAAAAAATACATAAAGCAGTCAGGATCGCAGTAGGGAAACAAATGGCACACTCAACTTGGGAAATCTGAGCAGAGTTTAATAAAGGGAACATTTTCTTTCTTTCTTTTTTTTTTTTAATTTTATTTATTTATTTGACAGAGATCACAAGTAGGCAGAGAGGCAGGCAGAGAGAGAGGAGGAAGCAGGCTCCCCGCGGAGCAGAGAGCCCGATGTGGGGCTCGATCCCAGCACTCTGGGATCATGACCTGAGCCGAAGGCACCACCCAGGCGCCCCAAAAGGAACATTTTCAAAGGTGCTAGTAAGGAAGAGGGAAAGCAAAAGATACAGTGCAGTATTCTTGGCTAGTAATAGCAATGCACCTGGCTACCCTGAAGTCATAAAGAGGTGTGGGGAACAAGCAATTCCTGGAACCCAGAGACTCAGGCTCTTTCATCTGTTTCATCCGGTATGGAGAGGGCCACAGGACCATAGCTATGACCTTTGGTCAAAGGACAGTGACCTCCCTCAGGGAAAGACTGGGAAATAAAACCACCACCTCACTCTCCTCCCTGTCTCTGATCTCCTGCCTCCGATGTCTGCCTAATGGCCAAACCCAACTAGAAGCCGAGAGCGAGAGAGCCACTGAGATAGTGCATACAGATCCAGCCTCTCATAGCACAAATGCAAATTTCATATTTATACTCTAAATCAGAAGTTCACCAAAAAGGTAAAGCGGTAATTCAACATCTTAACTTGCCTACTCACCAGCTAATATTGCCTCATTTAACTTAAACCAACAACTCAAGTAGATTCAAAACCTTGCTTCGGGGGTCCCTGGGTGGCTCAGTGGGTTAAAGCCTCTGCCTTCAGCTCAGGTCATAATACCAGGGTCCTGCGATAGAGCTGAGGATTGGGCTCTCTGCTCAGCAGGGAGCCTGCTTCCCCTCTCTCTCTGCCTGCTTCTCTGCCCACTTGTGATCTCTCTGTCAAATAAATAAATAAATCTTAAAAAAAAACAAAACAAAACAAAACAAAAAACCTTGCTTTGATGAACTGGTTTTCAAGTGCCTCTCAGCATTATAGATAAAGTCATTTTTTGTTCCCATCAATAATATTTAGTATCTTAACAATTTTCTTATTTTTTCAAGCAAAGACAGCCTAAGATTTACGTAATTCCAATGGTAGGAAATGAGGATCTCAACCTTCGATATCTATCCTATGATAGAGAATGTGTGTACTCTGCAAGAAATAAATTTTTTTTATAGATTTTATTTATTTGTCAGAAAGACAGCAGGAGTGCACATAACAGAGTGGCAGGCAGAGGGAGAAGCAGGCTCCACACTGAGCAAGCAGCCCATATGGGGCTCGAGTCCAGGACCCTGGGATCATGACCTAAGCTGAAGGCATATGTTTAACTGACTGAGCCACCCAGGTGTCCCAAGAACTAAATCTTAAAGAACAGTTCAGTTTGGGGCGCCTGGGTGGCTCAGTGGGTTAAGCCTCTGCCTTCGGCTCAGGTCATGATCCCAGAGTCCTGGGATTGAGCCCCACATGGGGCTCTCTGCTCAGCAGGGAGCTTGCTTTCCCCTATCTCTCTTTGCCTGCCTCTCTGCCTACCTGCGATCTCTCTGTCAAATAAATAAATAAAATTTAAAAAAAATAGAAAGAACAGTTAGTTCAGTTAAATACTACCCTCACGTAAAGGATATATATCACATAAAGGATACCAGGAAATCTGAACTTTCTTACCATTTATTTCACTCTATTAGGAACCACCTCTGAAGTTTCTTGGAATTATTTCAAATAGCACAATTATTTCAAATAGAACATTTTGGGCAAAGTATGTTATTTACAGTATCACTGACATATTTGCAAATACTGCAGGCTTTGTTTTTATTGTTTTTGCTGGCTTCAAAAATCAGACAAAAGTTGTTTTAGGCACTGAGGATGACACAGAAATATCTGAGTCTGATAATACCATGTGTCAAACCAAACCTGAACAAGTTTTTTTTTTTTTTTTTTTTTAACTGAGGTATAATTGACATATATATAAAACACTACATTAGTTTCAGGTGTACGACATAATGGTTCACAATTTATATATATTGTGAAATGATCACAATAACTGTAGTTAACATCTGTCACTATACATAGCTACGAAAATTTTTTTCTTGTGACAAGAACTCTTAAGATCCACTCTTTCAGCAACCTGCAAACATGCAACGTAAATGAACTAGGGTTACCATGCTGTATATTACATTCCCATGACTTATTTTTACAACTGGAAGTCTACTTTTTGACCCCTTTACCCATTTTCACTCCCCCTCCTCTCTGGT